TACACAATGACAAATACGCAGTAAAAAACAAAAAAGAGAACAAAATTGGGCTGCAGTCATTCTGCAGTGCTCCTGAGAGTATGCTTTGGCACACACAAACATACAGCTTAGAAAAAAAGAGAGCTGATGCGTGATCTGAGAATCAGTTAAAGTTTGGCACTAAAGGAGGGCAAAGTATGAAGAGCAGATGCAGACGAATGTGGAACAACCAGAGTGTAAGGGTGTGAATGGTCTGAACAGTGGTTCAGACATGGATCTGAATAAAATAAATGAATAAAAGCAATGGTGTGAAATAAACCACAGGTCAGCAGGGAGCACGGCAAAGTACCAACGCAGGTTAGGCAGTTCTTTAACAAAGGTGCAGGCGGCTATAGTGCATCACATATGGAGCACAAGTCAATGCTATATTGCTGTAAAAATACAAGTATATACAAGTACGTACCATGATATATAAAAAAGCAGTGGAATAGCTAACATTGGAAGAGATAGTCAATGAAGGTGGTGTAATTTTCATTATGCAAGCTAAACCGTTATGGGAAGTGGTGAGATATCCTGTCTGGGCTCCTCAGCCTCCCTGAAAAAGTGTGCACACTTCCTATGCTTCTGTGAGAGAGGAGAAAAGGTAGAATGCTGCAGGGAAAACATAGCTAGTCTGACTTATTAAAGCAAGTAATACTAAAAATCATGCTGACAAAAATCACACATTGAGAAAAAAGAAATAAAATGAGCATTTAGATGAGAAAACAAGTCAGGCAGCTGAGAGCTGGCAATCCATTAAGGAGGAAAAAGAAATAACAGATGGAGAAGATATGAAAACTGAAGTAATTCAAGACGACAGAAGAAGATGGAGAGAGATGTGTCTCAACAGCAGCATTATTTTGTCAAGGTACACTGCAACCAATCTAAACATTATTTTGAGTCATAACCTAGTTAGGAACATGATAGAGATGTGCGGAGTCCATTTTAATTATTGCTCAGTTACAATAACTTTAATATTTTATTTGACTAAGTGAAATAATTTCTATTTTCTTTTCTACTTTTTAATAAAGCACTATTAAAAAAAAATCTTGCAAACAACAAAGTAATTAAAAATGCCAATTAACTTCTAAATTGAGACCTCAATCTAGTTTTATTTGCAGTATTTCAAAGAAGTGATTTTCTCTTAAAATGGTACATTAGAAATGTTCTCAGTTCACAGGTAGCACATATCCCTATAGAAATATATATAGGTACAGGTCTGTAAATCGTACATTTCTATACACTTGTATGTTAAAAAACATAACTTGGGTTTCCAAACATTTTCTTCTGATTTATTTTAAACTATCTAATAATATCTTTTAAATAACTAGGAAGTAAACTTTGTCAATGAGGCCTCCATAAACTTTCTTTGCTAGATTACACACCCAAAACACCATCATGTTTCATATTACATCGAGACCACAACGCATGGCACTACCTCCATTACCACTCAGGGCAAAACCGTCAAGCTATGACGTCGTAGTGGTGTGTGCATGTGAATGCAAAACGCTGCTCTTAAAATCTTGGGCTTCCCATATAAAACAATTTCCATTCAGATATGTCCATCTAATGAGTTGTTGATAGTTGTAAAAATATCTGGCTTAATTAGAATGTGAAGGCTGCCAAGAGCTTTCAGAAACACTCAGTACGCTGGTAATGCTCAAGATTCAAGGCCGTTTTAAAGGGCAGAGAGTCTGTCTTTTTCGTGTTGACGTAGAAAACACCAGAGAAAAAAAGTCTTACAATAAAAACATGCTGTCCTTAAAATATGGCAAAAATCTCATTTGTATTAAATTAATATGCAGTTACAAAATGAAGACAAGGAAGGAACATAAAAAATGAAATGTAATTTCTAACAGCTACCCAATGTTTCCCTAGAATTGAAACAAAATTTCAGGTAAGTTAGTAATATTTAGCATAACTTTGTAAAGCCCTGCAAACAAATGTTTAGACTTTCTCCTGAAATACTTTAAAATAATGAAAATATTTATATTAGTCTCAAATTTTGTTTAAACAATGTCTTTAAGGCACAGCTGTGTCATTATAGCAAAACGAAAGGACACTGCTAGCAAAAGGATAAACAGTGAATAACTGTGGCATTGTATTTGGCTTGAAAATCTGAAGAAGGTGTCAAATCACCAAAGGACAGACTACAACTATCTTTTGATTGAGTGAAGAGGAATTACGGAAGGAAAATCTACCCAAGAATACATGCAAAGAACAGCCCAGTCATTTCACACCACTGTAAATCTTCGCCTTGAGTCTGGAACCAGAATCAGCACTTGGAATGTAACCAACTGAAGATTCTGGTGTAAGACACTACAAAAATTTGGTGAAAGAAAAAAACCACCACTAGCTTTAGCATATATATATGATAGGGGAATGCAAATGAAGGCACAGTACACATACCTCTATGAATGAAAGCATCTTTCTTGAGCAGGACTAATTTCCCTGAGCTCAATACCAAAATGTGGAATTGTTTCAGTATAATTACCCTCCTTTGTGACGATTTGACTACATAAATACTTCATTTACAAGTAACATTGTCACAAGCTGTGTACTTTTCTATCTAACATCAACCAAAGCTCCACTTTAAGGCAGTAAACTCTTAACAGAAGAGAGGATTTTAAAAATGATACGTACTTGTCATCTTTTCAAAAGTGCTAGGCAAGCCTAGGAAAACTACTATTTTGTCTTCTGGAGAAAGGCTTAAGCAGAAAGACAGAAGCCTATCTATATTTATATAGTATTATCAGTTCCCTAAAGAAAGCTGAAAAATTGTTCTCAGGACTGAGAACAAATAGGAAAGCATGAATATGATATTCTCAGTTTTTGAGGAAATCAAATTACAAAGAGATAACAAAACAATACTGAATAAAATGATGAGAATAACCCCCCACTTAGGTATAAAACTAGGTATATAAATCCTACACAAAAGCTTAATGATTGTGACACTAAACTACAGAAATTTCCTTGCATGTAAAGGAAATGAAAGACTTCAGAGTGGAGTTCTTCAAAAGAAGCCTACTATTCAAATAAGCAAAAATAAAAATCCTTAGCTCAGAACCCTCAAAAGAACATGAGGAACAGCGTACCACAAGGCAGTACGTGAATGACCACAGTTTAAAAGGAAACACCACCCAAAATTTTTACACCTCATACTAGATCATATGATGGGAAAGAAAGACAAGGGAAGGACAGACTACATAGCTGCATTTGGCAAGGGGAATTCCAGAGTGTATTAGAGTGTGGTATCTGAGCTGCTGTTGTTAAGTTCATTAAATGAGTCAGGATTTATTATACCCGTATAGACAACTATATATCAAGTCTACCTTTCTGCTTTTATACTTCTGCATTAAAAATGGCCCACTTACTGAGAATAGTCATTCATTTCAATATTGTTTCTACATTTTCTATTAATTTTCTTACTTTGTTTTATGGCTGGCTGTGGAAAAAGTGACTTCTCGTCTGGCAATTAGCGTGATGAAAATTTCTATCTGCTTACTCTACATCACAGGTGAAACTTATTCTGAAGCCAAGTAACCTTGTGATGAAAAGCCTTTGTGAAAAGAGCTAAGAGATGGCTGTTGAAAAGGATTTCTCAAAATCAACAGACAGAATGGCTGTTACACTGTGTCTCTCTTGCATTTGACCTAAGTCAGTGTTTTAAATTTGTTCCACATTAGGAGTGTAGAATGTGCTCCTTCATGGAAGAGAAAGCTGAAGGGACTTGGTAAAAACAATCTTTTTTGTCACTGGATCACTGGTGTGAGACTAACGTCTTCTGCAGTAGTAAGAAAGCGATTCACATTGTGTAGCCTTATTGCTACTGGACTGCCCTACCATCAGACAAATAAGCAACAACACTGGAGCATTAATGCCATACTAATATAGATGTGTAAAGAGTTCATACAATTTCCCCTTCCAATTTTAAGAAAATTTACGGTAATAGAAAGTTTATGAAAAGTTTGTCTGTTGTCAGATTAATACAGGTATTATTTTACATGCAGGATCAAGAGACCAATTAGACTCATAAAAATACCATTTTCATAGTTATACTCCTAACTCTTGTAGCCAACTTTGAAATGATTACAAAGATTAGCAAATTCTCATTTGAAGTACTACACTAACTTGATCTCATTAAGATAGCATTTAAAAACAGCATTCAAATAAAAGGAAAAATTAAAATGGAAAATTTATATTCTCTGCCAAGAAATACAATAGATTTTCTTCTAAAACTTCCAGACTACTTAAAGAAAAGCCATATTATAAGGGAGAAAATGAGAAAGTTAATTTTAGATGGAGAAAAGATCCTAGGTTCAAGTGATTGGAATTGATTTTTAAAAGCTTTTCTATGTGAACTCCCACCTTGACACAAAGGGTAAGTAGACAGGTACGTCCTGTCATCACAGCATGCAGTACTGCCTGCTACTGTAGTAGGTCCACAGCCTCCTTGGCACCTGTGATAAATCCACATCCTCTAAAGCAGATTTTTAAAATATTCAGTAGATTATAAGTTCCTAAAATGGAGTTTCATATTGTGTCCCATTTTATTGTCAGATAATAGTTTCTCTTATTTTAGCTTGGCTCTCTTGAAGCGTTTTTGGATCTAGTTTGGCCAAGTCCAAAGCATGTGAATGTGGTCTTCAGCATTATGAGGAAACACACTGAACCACCCTCACAGAAAGAAACATAAATGCTTTCCTGAAAACATGCTTATGTAATTTTCATTGCCACCACAGACAGTAATAATGTTTCAGTATTGCTAAAGAAATTAAAACTGTCAGCACATAGATTTACAGTAAAATGGGAACTGCCCCTCAACACATCAAATGCATTGTTGAAGCAACAGTTCAGAAGTCAAGTAGTAACAAATAGCATATGGATCAATGTATCTATCACCCACCTTATCTTGAGTAAAAAAGGCAATATGAAAAAGTGATAAACTCTCTTCTGTTACTACAATAAGTACATGGATAGTTCTAGTTGCTCAAGACTACCTTGAACTGTAACAACTCAATTGCTTTATCTTCACTTGCACATTCTAACAAAAATTGAGTATACATGAAAATTCAGTAACAACATTCTGCCTACCTGCCACAATGCTTCACAATAAAACAGCATCATAACACCTCTCTCTTTCAAGAGTATTTGGTAAGACACCAAGATCAGTAAAACTTGAAGAAAAACTTTAAATATTGACCATAAATGTGTATATAAGAACATTTCAAGCATGACAACAGAACAATGATAAAGTTTAGGATACCACATCAACAAAAATACAGTCGAAAGAACATATGAATGAATAATGATGTTTTCACGTGCATTAAACTTCCAGATGCAGTTTGAAAACACATGCATGCACAGCTAGAAATCATGTTCTTTCTTTTTAGTCAGTAGCTATACTCTAGACTAAAAATGTTTATATGATTTCCTTTGCTAGTGCAGACAGTACATAATGTTGAATCAACATGCTGAAACACATCCTTTTCTGTATCGGACAATCCCCTAATACTGCAACAGTACCCCTAAAAAAGGTTTGAGGTTACAGGTGTGGAGAAAATGCCAGAATCTTTGTCTTTTAACATTTGCTTAATCAATGAATGTTTTGTCATATCCTTTCTAAGGACAACGATTGATATGAGGAACTATGAGTAAAAGGGAAAACAACAAAAACTGTAAATGAAATAATGTAAAATATCAAAACAGTTATCAGATTTCCTAAAGATCCAAAACTAAAGGAGGAAAGTTATCAGGCAAGTAAAACTGAGTCCCAATTAAAACTAACATGAGACCATATCACAGCAATAGCTCTTACATTGCCATAGCAAGAAAATGGTTAAAGATAAATAGAATTTGAATGCAAAATTTTCTCAACTACAGTCAAAATCATGACATAAAAGTATGAGAGAGCTCTTTCTTCATTTGTAAAAAAAAAACCCAAAACCAGATAGATGTTACCCTTTCCTTTTCTAGTTCTGGCTTTTTTACAGCAATCTTGTGTGAAGGTTTGAACTTCTTAAAACCAAGTTTTTTATGTTGAGGTTGGTCCCAAATCAGTGAATTAAAATACAAAATAATAATCTAAAGATAGGAAAACCTTGTCTTTAGAAAAGCAGGGTTACACTGAATGAGCCTAATATGAAGAATTTTATATATGACATAAAGCACAAAAGAAATAAAGTATACAAGAGCCATAATATTGTTTATATTACAACTTAAATTAACTGTTCAGTTTATTATCAGGGACAGTTTTCTACAACGTGGAATACAAAGGGGGACATTAGATTTTGCTCTAATATTTTGAATAGTTTTTTTTATTCTTTGGGCAATATAATCAGATTAGCTAATACAATGTTGTTTCTACAAATGAATGCTTCTTGCTTCTGCAGTAATTTAATTCCCATTGTAGAACTTTTTTTTTTTTTTAACTTGGTGAGTATTTCACACCTTAGTTATTTTACTGAAATGAGTTGAGACTTCTGTTTCAGATCTCTTCACCCAACAGAAGAAATAATTTCACAAGTGTACCCTCTTTGTAAGTAATATAATGACCTTTCTGAGATCACAGTTGTATTACAATGTATTATAAATATCTAGCTTTAAAAATGGATTTAATTTCACACTAGCCTAAAAAAGATTCCAAGCCAATGCATTTAGCAGAGTAACTGTGTATTGTATTTGTCTAGAATAATTTTGCATTTTAAATTGTTCTCTAAGGATTCAATGCGCAACCCCTTTCGAGTCAGCATTGAATGGATACTAAAACGGATCTCTGAATTAATACTTCTTAGAAGTACATACTACTATTTTTTACTGTATAATTATAAAACCATCACAGATTTACATTAGAAATCATTCAATAACAATTTTTTTAAACAGCTATATGTCAATACACTGAATTTCTGCTTCATTTTAGAATTTACCCTTCCTCACAATATGAGAAACTACACCGTGGAATGAAATTCTATTCCTTTTGAAATTAATAACCAGTTGTGACTGACTTCAGATATGTCAGAATTTGATTTGTTATCTGTCTGAACTGTGTTACCTCTTTCTCTTTTATCTTGGTGTGTTACAGCCATAATAGAATGTAACACACCTACTGTAGCTAAAAGATTTGTGTAAAATATCATATACATTTTAAAATTGCACTTTTGGCATTATTCTGATGCTATACAATGTTTAATTTCATGACCGCTGAAATTAGTATCTGAGTATCATGCAATAAAAAAAAATAAATCCAAAGTGCTTAGTTGTTTGACTTCTCCAATTCTTTAAGATTGCAAATTTAAGATGAAGGGGGGAACAGGAACTTACCTACTTGGTACTTTGGGTAAAAAGTTGCCATTTGTCCACTACTGCATGATTGTCTCTTATGCCTTTTTCTTATATTTGTATCAGTGGTATCCCATTGTGGACTTTTTCTTTTGTTTATTCTGATAAGGACTTCAGAACTACCAGCAGGATTATCATCATGGTTTACACCATCACTAAATTTTCTGCTGTGAAATTGGTCATCCAGCCTTTCAGTCACTTTAGAAGAATTAGATCCTTTAGATGTTTCCATTTCGTTTTCTTGTTTCTTTAATGCATTTTGCTTAGTAGAATGGGATCTTAAAAGAGGATGTCTTTTTTCTTCCATATAGGCCTGATTGCTCTTACTTTCAACAGCTTCAGGAGAATAAATGACATTATTTAACTTAAATGAATTGTGCTGCTCAATATGGTTGATTTTTCTCAGAAATATTCTACAATCTTTAAAGGTTTTGGCTTTCCAAGTATTTTGAAACAGTTTATCTTGGCTTTGTTCTTTTCTAATGTTTTGTTGGCAACAAATTGTTCCATTTGTCTCTGCATGTGACTTAAGAATATTTGCTAAACCAGGATGTTGGTTAAAGTCAGAAGATCCCATCATCTGTTGAACATCTCTGGCTTCATTTTCAGTTGGCAAGAGGATACTGTGAGATTCTACCAAAGGCTGAGTGGGCTGGATTTCTACTGTATTTTTTTCCTGGAGCTTGGGCATTTCATCATTGGTTTCCCCACTTGGACTTTTAAACAACTGGCTTTGGCAAAAGAATGGTAAATTTTTCTTTTTTGATTTCCAGCCTCCGGGAGCCTGATTATATAGTTTTTTCGTTTGCCCCCACCTATCACGCTGTAACTTCTTAAATTCATTTCTTTTTAATCTGGCTAACATGAAATTATTTCTCATGCTTAAGACTGGAGACCTCACCATGTTATGTAATATTTGTAATTTCCCTGCTGGTTTTGAAGGAGAGGATAGTGCAAACTTTTTAAAGTGCTTTCTGAAAGGGCAACTACTAAGATCAGATTGTTTAGTTTCCATCTTTATCTCTCTAGTACTAACTACTTCTAAAGGATTGCGAGCATTTGCCTTCCTCACTAGAGAGAGCGACTGTGTTTCTGTAGTTTGCATAAACCAGGTGCAGAGTTCATTCATATTACACTTTTTCTGAAAAAGCATTTTTATAGGTGATGTTTCAAATTCTACAAGGCAGGAGTCTAAATGGTTTGACATTTCAGTATTACAGTCTTGTTCAATGGGATCCCTTTTTTCACATACACATTTATCAAACTCATTTCCCCCCACTCGCAACCAGGTATTAGTTATCTGTTCAAATCTATTATTTAGTTCTTCCAACAAAGTGTCACTTGAAGTGGAAGTAGCCCACCACCTGAGAGAGGGATTCGATGAAAAAATGGGATCTGATGATACTTCATTAATGGGCCCAAATTCACCACCATCCTTAAGATCCTTTTTTGTATTTCCTGAATTTCTCAGTTCTGAGGTATCTTTGGATGCTGTGCTCTGATTTGATTGCCTATGTTTTTCCTTTCGATCTTTAGCTTTTTTCAAATGGAGTTTGTAAGATTTATGTAGTAAGGCACTTCTACAAGTAAATGCACTAGAAGATGCTAATGAATGTAAAAAATGCAGTGAGGGTTTTCTGTCTCTAGCAGAATGTCTCAATGGAATTTCACGTTTTCTTGACACTGTTGCAATGACATTGTTTGATCCATCCTCTCTAGAATCTTTCTGCATGCTCTTTACTTGTCCTGTGTTATTGCACAGCTGATTTTTTCTCTCCTGGGGTATGTTTTTTTCTAACACAGTCTGCTGTTGCAAAGGAGGCAAACAGTTACTAATACTCACTTTTCTTTCCTGAGGTGAAACTCTATTAACAGTCACTGATATGCCGGAGATTTTTACTTTTGCTGGCCTACCAGGTTTTCGAATGGTGGTTAACGGTTTCTTAATTGGCCGTATAATATTGCTGCAAGGATGTGGTGATGCTAGGTTACTCTTGATAGGTCTGACATAGTCATAACCAGACACCTCGTTTTCAGTAGAAGAATTCTGTAAAGCTTTTACTATTTCAGTCAAAGCATTTTCACTTTCTGCATCGTGCCTCGCTTTGCTGTGGTGATTGGCAAAATTAGAATCAATGTGTTGTGTGGGCAGAATACTGATTACATTTAGATTACCTTCAGAAACATGTCTCTTAGTTCTTCTTGACCTTCCAAAAACAACCGTCACAGTAATATTTTTGTTGCTGTTAACTTCTTCTGTTACTGCTGCACCAGATTTGGTACATTTACCATCACTGCTAAGTTCAGGTCTACGTTCTGTGCTTTCAGTCACATCTATTTTTGGTTTTGGGGGCCGTCCAATAGGTCTCTTAACCTGCTTAACAACTTGAGGACCTATTTTCTTTGGTCTACCAGGTTTTCTTTTTAAAACCGATTCACTGCTACTGCTTGATTTCTCCACAACTTCGTCATTTTGGTTTGAGTCATTTAAGTTAGTTTGACCAACTGGACAAGAGCTTGTAATTGCTTCCACATAAACACAACTTGACTCTTCCTTGGTATCATTTTCATTGTAATCACGATCCTTGACGCAGATTGCATGAGAAAGATCTCCTGTGGCCTGTTTGTCTAACAAAGTGTTTACGTGCCCCTGAAACAAACAAATATCTGTGCTTTCTTTAGAAGATGCAGCTGCAGATGTCAATGTATATTTGACTCCTTCACTACTATTAACCTCTGAGACAAACATAAGCTTAACAGGACTAGAGTAGTTTAAGGGAGATGAGATCTCCCCAGCTACAGAAGTTGTATGCATATCCTCATTATTAGAAGCTGAGCTGGATGAATCAAAGGTCAGAGATTTCAAAAGGCCATCATTAATTTCTTGATCTATAACCACTTCTCGTTTGTTTGTTGTCACACTCAGAGTTTTGGTTTTACTGCTGCTTGGCACATGTGAGTGTGGAAGGAAGCTTTGTCCTGTGCATCCCATTTCACTCAGAGCGAAGGGTAAGCCTCTTCTAGCAGCTGGGTTCATAACTTGTTCATAAGCATTATCTTTTAATTTTTGGCTTATTTTGTAACCGTCCAGCAATGAGTTGTTAGTCTTTCTGGCTAAGCTTATTGTATCTTCTAAACGCTCTACAACAACTTGCAGATTTGTGTCTCTCACAATTTTGCTTATATTTATGTCACTGCATCTTTCAGCATGACCATCTTTATTTATTTTCATTTTTTCCAAACTTTCTAAAGACTTTTTTGCATTGGATGACTTTCTAAACACAATATTGTTCGTTACATACACAGAGTACCATCCAGGAGGCACAATGTTACGTTTAGTTCTGCCCAAGATTCCATTACTCTCATCCTTTAGAGGAATCTGATCAGTCTCTCCTAAGGATGCGCAATCTCCTTGTGTTTTTGTGAGTTTCGGCTGGCTGGCTGCAATAGCACTGTTTTCTGAAAGAACTAGAAAGCCGGAGCTGGTTTGAAAATTAGTAAGAGGTAGTTTGAAAGGCTCTGTTTGGTGTACAGGAAAGCACGTCGGTTTGGTTTGGCAATTCATACATGGATTACTTTCAAGATGTTGCAAAGTCTCATCTTCTATCACAGTAAAACTGTGTCTTTTATTTGGATATATTTTATCGATTTTTTTTGTCGATTTCTTTGCATTTCTCTCAGAAATTGACCTTTTTCTTACAAGAGTGCCATCAAGGCTTGCAAGCTCCCTCTTGATTTGCAAAGACTGTCGTCGAATGAATGGTGAATCAGGCGAATTATATGTTGCAAATAAAGTTTCCTGACGCTTGCGAAATCGTGTTTGTATAATTTTATTTTCCATTTGTTTATCATGTTGGTGAAGTAATTCCATAAAGCTGTAATCACTTGCCTTAGCATTATGCAAAAGAGAAGTTATGAAGTCTCCCAATTTGATATCATTTTCTGGTGCCCTGTCACTGCTAGAAAGTTTTACAAGATTTGTTGCAATATCTGTAGTATCTATTGATTTTAACTTTTCATTAATACGGTCTATTAAATCTTGAAAAATGGCAGAATGTTCACCTTTCTCAGCCTTCTCAGAATTTACATAAGAATCATTGCTTTCTTGGTCTGTTGATAGCAACGTTCCATCTGAATATTTGGCCTCTTTTCCTCTGCCTGTTTTACCTTCATATTCAAATTCTCCTTTGCTTCCTTCAGCCGGCAAGAGGGATGGAGGCTGGTTGATGGATATTTCAAGCTTGTTATTGTCTAAAGTTGGAAAATCTATAACCAATCCTTCCGATGATTCAAATTCTTTACTCTGTACAGGTGATAGTGGAGGTGGTGATGGGCTGCGAGATCTACTCAAATTTTTAATGCTGTTCAAGAGATCACAATCCTTAGTTGAATATGTACATGCTGCTGCTTTCCCAGAATGCCTGTTATAATTTTGCAATTGTTCAGCACAATACTTATGAGAACTACATGGTTTGTTCACCATTGTCTTAATACATCCAATCGCTACAGCTTGGCATGACAAAGAATGGAAATCTTTAATACAAACAGACAGAGGTGGTAAACAAGTGTTTGGTCTTTGATTTTGTAAACAGCACCTTTTTGTCAGCATACGTCCATTGCAATTGCAAAATGAAACATGAACATCCTCTTCAGCAAGGGAACTGGGAGTGTCAGAGTGGACCAAATGTGTTTGCTTGCAACTGCAAACTATAGGAACATTTTCCTCTTGTATTAAAAATTTTAACATAGCCAAAGTCTGTTGCCAGTGATATGAACAAAAAGACTCCAAAACTTTGTATAATGTTGATTTTCCTTTTTCCAAATTAGCTGTTTCCTCTGAGTTTGCATCAGCTGTTGAGCTTGAACTGAAAATGAAAACAAATCAAAACAAAATATAAATTACAGTAAAACACCATATCTAATGTTTGTTATAATGGTTAAACTCAAACCTAAAAACCTGAAGTTTGCACAACAGTTCTGTTCTATTTGCACTATTCAATCATACTTGCAAGTGTCACTAGCAATGATGTGCATCTTATCTTTAGTAGTGATAGTCCTACCATAAGAAAAATAATCAGGAAGAAATTAAGTGACAAAAAGAATAGTTTGGAACATAGCTTCTCATATCTAAGTGTAATTACAATGATGTTAACATTCTAAGATTTCAAACTACCTTAATTGTTGATGAAGGAAAACCTAACCATGAACCCGGGGAGCTTAGTATTACTCCCATTTCACCAACTGAGGCCCAGAGAGGGGAAGTGACTTGCCTACGGTCACAAATCAAGGTTGCGGCAGAGGCAAGAATGGATCCATCTCTCCTGATCCCCACCCTAAGACATTCATACACCAAAGTGTATTGAATGCTTTTCAGGATACTCTTAAAGATCCTTCTAAAGACATTTTTATTTATATATTTATTTTAAAAGAACGCTTAGTAGGCTAACAGAAAATGGAAAAAATAGCCAATTACTACTGTTACTGTTCTTTGCAGACAGAAGTTTCCCTTCTAGTTTTTAAATAAATTGCAGTGGTGCATCATAGACTCTTCATTGCAATATATTACACACACACACACACACGTGTGTGTGCACACACACACACGGATTCCTTCATTAAACAGAAACAGAGATAATCACCACTGGAATAAATAACTTCTGTGACAAGGGTTAGTATCCTTTAAATCTCCAATATAGGGTAGGCCTATATCTAAATAAGACTTTTGAGCAGTTTTTCTTAAAGATATTAACTCAAAATAAAATCACTTATAAAATACTACCTTAACTATTTAATTAATTTCTTATAAATTATTAAAACTAATGTCACCACTTACCTAATCAATCATTTATATTGAAAAGCTGAAAATTTTCCATGGTAGAAATTAATACAGATACTTCTTCAATTAAATACAAAATCCTTATGCTGGATAGCAACTATCAACAGATAGTTAACACCTAATTCAAATGTTTTACTTAAACCAATTACATGAGCAGAAAATGTTAGAAGAATTCTGTTTTAGAAAAGTATGTATTGTTTAAACATATCACCAAACTCTGAACATGACACTAACTTTTTGCCCTGCTATTACCTCCCGTAATTTTTTGCATTTAGGCCTGTACTTTGGAAAAAAATCATTTTGATTGGGTTTACAACAGTATTGGTCAAGGAACAAGCATATTTAAAATTTAATGTGCTGTATTAATATAAAGCTACATATTCTGTAATTAGCTCATACCCAATGTTATTAACATCATTAATAACTTTAAGCTTCAGGTTTTGTACTGGAAGTTATACATACAAATTTGTACTTTTATTGTGCCACATAGATTTTAAAGTTTAGAGCTTAAAACCAGTCAACTATGCTTAATAATTCCTCATGTTTTTTCCTTCTGTAATATTTAGTATGAAACGGTATATATTCAAAATCAAGCATCTAATGACACTAACTCATAAAAGCGTAAGATAATTGTGATGGTACTAGTTGAAATTGTGATTGTTTAAACTGAAGTCATAAAAAGAAAACAAACTCTCTTTGCACTTCTAAAGTAAACCCAGCATTATTCAAGGTCATGGCATTGTCAGGATGTAACTTTTTGAAATGCCACTACACTGAGAAGAGTCTGAGTGTTATTCAGTCCGACAAATTCAGGAGTCACAAGGTGTTGAAATGTATCACTACACTTGTGAAAACAAAGCTTATTCTAGTAATACAATTCAAGATAAACACTCATGGCCCTCCCCACCACCATTACTTTAATTAAATAATGTTTTGAAAGGCTATATATTAAAAAAATGAACATGGCACTAGGTCTTCAATATTTTGTTTGTAAATCACAGTTAATTTGTTAAGTACCAGTTTGCTAAAAAGCTGGCTACAGTATAGTCTTTAGGCTGCATCTCTATACAGATACCTTTCTGTCTGTCTAGACTTGCAAGGTATGTCTAAAGGAGTTTCACTGGAGAGGACCTGTACCCATAACTGCTATTTAAAATATGCTCACTGGTGGAGGAAAATTCCAGAGCCCTAAAGCCTTCTCAAAGTCAGTAACCAAAATTTCCAAAGGCCTCAAAAACTGCCTGGAATTTGCTATGTGGATATCAACCTGTTGTATAAAGTAATATCCTGGTTATGACAGACATACTAGACATTCTTCTAATTTCCTGGTTATCTACCGTTGTGTAACATCTATAATCTGATTTCCCTTAGCGTGTGTTAGTTTCTAATGTTGATGGACAACTTCATCTATTCTATTGTAATAGTACTGCACTCCAAAGTTGGTGAAGACCCATCACCCCTTACAGTTGCCATTTGGGAACAAAGCTTACTATGCACACAAAGCACTGAAGCAATGCATTTTCTTTCAAGTGTCTGTAGAGATGTCCATATATTTAAAACAAACTAATTTTTTAGTAGCTTTTCAACACAATTATGGAATTGTATTTCAGTTTCCTGTAATTCCTTCCTACAGTCCTTTAAATTTGTGTTGTCACACAATAGATTAGACTATCCTCAAGATAAAAGACTTAATAATTTCATAGAAGGAAGAGCTATAACTTCCCCAATTGCATACTTCCTTCACAGAACAGTCTTACACTTCCTACAAATCACACACAAAAAGATGGCTAAAGAGAGTGGATCAGAAACAGAGGGTTGAGATCAACATGCGCTGCTCCCCCAGCACAATATGTCTGAAGACAAAAGTTAATCATGGAATGACACTATTTCCCTGCTGGAGGGCAGGGACAGTTAATACCATGGAGTGGGGACTGACTGGAGTCCAAAACTGGCACAAAGGCAGAGATGTGATAAGGTTACATACTAGCCTTTCAGTGTGTTATTTTATGTATAAAAAAGTAAACTTTCGCTTCCTCCACCAATCCAAAAAATCTATCAGGAAAGAGCTCTGTCAGAGGACTCCCAAAAGATTTCCTTCCCTAGTGTTCTATCCTCTGTTGTCTCAGCCACAGACAAAATAGATCAATCCAGCAACTTCTTTGCAGACTGGGAACAGGAACAAAACTGGGAACAGAACTTTCAAGTACTCGTATGAACAGCATAGAACTCTTATAGAAATACAAATTTGTCTTATAGAAATGTTTGACTTTACTAAGTAAATAAATCCCTCAAAAAAAGCTATATATTATCTGTAATATATAATAGATAATTTTTAGCTGCAAACTAAAGGATGTAACTGTTATAAAATTAATTTTCTGAATTTCTTCTCATTTTTCAGTAATGCACAATTCTGAGAAATCATCCTTCCTTAAAGCTAGTATTTCTGATATATAAAATTCTTATAGTAAATTAGCCATTATATGCTTAATTTGTACAGTTCTTGATCTTAAGCCACTGCTAATAAACTTGTGCCTCAGGAGTAAGTCAAATGAGTCAGTGTACAGGTTTTTGTTTCTTTCTTTTTTTTTTTTTTACTGAATGAGCAAATCAATCACACATCAGTGTTGTAAATTTATGTGCAAAAGCATTGAAGTGCTTTACTACAAATTACAACGTAGAAACACGTTAACTAAACAATTAAATTCATACAATCAGATTTAGGAATATAACAACACAAAGAAGAAACAGAATTACAGTACATTTACAACACAAGACAAATACATGGAATTCATTAGAAAATATTGTAATAAATAATTCATGAATTATAGTGCAATTGATTTATGCATAAATATAACTAATTGCCTAAAAATCAGTTGTTAACAAAAATCTGTCAAAAATCAAGGCAGCCACAGAGTTTTACTAAATTACTGCGACAATGGAAATACTGCAATTAAAAAACAAATACAAGTATTTGTACTGTAAACAACTAAAAAAATCAGTCTCACTAAAGTTAATATACAATTTAATATAAAATTGTCATTAGCTACCAGAAATGGTTTAAACAGCTTTACTGAGCAGTAGTTCTAAAAACAGAGGCACTGTTTTTTAATATAAAATACTTGAGAAACATTCAAATAAGTAGAAAGCATGTAGGGCTTGCTTTCGCCTTCATTTAAAATTCTGCTGAAACAGGAATTTTCAGAAATCGTCAATTACTAAGTAGTGACTGGTAACTGAATTTATAAAACAGTTCAAAATGTGTAATTTAAATGACATTTAATGAATACACAGGGGTTGGGGAAGGAGAATCTACACATTTCCCTGCTTTTCCTTAGTTGTGTAATCAAAGGTTAGCCTAATAATTAGAAACAAATAATTCTGTTCCTTTAAACACTTACAGGTTGAGTATCATCTATAAACTATCAAAAAATATTTTAATATACTATTTCTGACCAAAAAATAAATACAAGTACTAAAATGTTGAAAATTAATTATAATATTACATACAAAACTACTGAGTACTGTTAAGTCAATAGTAAAATGATCCCTGATTTTATGAATCCTGTTAATTTTTTGGTCAGGTCATCTTTTAAATGATATAAAAAGAGTAACTTGCCTTCAATATAAACTTCTGACCGAAATTTATAACATTGTCTGAGGAGTAGAAA